TTATTATTACTGTCCCCTTACTGTACAAACTGTAAATAAATCTTTATTCCTGACTATGTGACGTCGCCATTAATGTGTTTCTAGTTAAAATATTGATTTTTTTATTATTATTTATTAATTTTTTTGGTAGATTGGCTTATGGGGTGATTTTGAAGGAGTAATTAAGTTAATCTTCTCATAAGTGGATGTAATATGTAGAGATGCCATCTAGGCCGTTTTTCCTCGTTTTGTTTTTTTTAAGTCTATATTTTGCTTTACAAAAACGTGAAAAAGCAGCTGTGACCAAGCTATCACGAGGTGAGTAGCATTGTAAGCATAATTAATAGCGATATACTTCAGTTTGTCTGTGTGTTTTTGTATGCAAGCGGGTCTGCTGCGGTCTGCTGACAGTCCAGTATGGCGGCGGTAGAACGAAACCATGGACGATTCTGTTGCTATGGGGCGTTCTATTGAGCTTCGCCTCTCGGTATCCATGCTCTTTGCTTAAATGGATAGAGTGCCAAAGTCACGCCCCGTCCGGTAGAGCTCATGGGACCTTAGATCAGAAAAAAATATGAATGGCAGTTAATGGGGAGAACAATATTATCTTTTGTTCCCGTTTGAGTTGCGACATGAAATCTGAATATGTTGTTAATGAATTTAAAACATATATTTTAAGGTCAAGAAAGTCATACTTTGTGGTAAAACTGTTGAGATATAAGCTTTTTAATTAGAAAGACTCAAGAGTACACAGGAGGAGGTCGCGTATGTGACATCATAGCTTTCGCTCACTTCCTGCAGCTTGGCACTCTATTGCAGACTGATTAGCCAAGCCAAACTAAATCCTAAACATCAGCTCTATTTTCTTATATAGTTATGCTTGAATGAGATGCTCTAATCTGTGCAGCCAAATGTGAAACTAAATTGGCCATTTGCCATGCATTCACCCACAAATCTTCAGTAGTTAGTTTGATAGGTCCGCTTTTTAAACCCTCTACGGTGTTGTGTAACCGCTAGGTACTAGGTGATACGTCATTCTTGGCTGTTAATACTCACACGATTTATCCCCAGTTATGTTGCAGTTCTTCATAAAAGAGCTAGGGCCATAAGGGAACCCATAGTACTGTTGATATTATGCCATGACTCTCTGGAGGCCATGTTTAGACCGTCTGTGGGCCTTTACGCATGGTTCAGCCCTATCAACTCCCTCCCCAAAAAAAAAAAGGTCTGCAAAAGTCCCTTATTGTCATTTTACACGCTGAAAAAAAAATGGATTCACAGAAATGGATGAGTTAAGTTTGTTTTTTTAATTTTCTAAGGAAGTCTTATTTGATAATTAATTAGTGCAAAATGCTCAAATTTTGCCTTGAGGCAGCACTGTACATTTATGGAATCATAACAGCATGACAGCTTTTGATATTGTATATGTTGGTTTGTATACTGTTTAAATGCTTATCAGTCATCATAATTTTCTTTTTAAATCTGCATATTAATTTACATACATTTAATAATATTAGTTGCATCACAGTTCAGGCTAATACACCAAGGGATGCAAGACAATATCAGCATGTCATTGGTATTAATTTTACACAATGAATGAAAATTACAAACATTAAAAGCATTGTATTTCATGTGTCCATCAGCTGATGGGCCGTTATGGTGCTATATTGGGGTCAAATGTTACTGTACTTGAGAAAATAAAATTTGAAACTGAAAATTGAAGTTTTGATCTTGAATTTTGAAAAATACATCAGGGCTTAAAATTAACTTTTTTACATGGTAGCACTGGTGCTCCTAACTTCAAAAGTTAGGAGCACCAGCAAAATTTTGCTCCCAATTATATTTTGAGGTCGCACAGATGAAATTTTGGTCACATATGTGACCAAAACAGTCGCAATTTCGAGCCCTGTACATCAATGTATTCAAAATGAAAATAAGTGTACAGAAAGTTTTTTCAGGTTAAATATAATTATGAATCACTCT